GTATTACAGATGTCCCCCTTTCTCCCCCATTGATCCCCTGCACCCTGCATCCACCCCACTCCCAGGCCTGCCTTATAACAATGTCTGTGTCCATGGGTTATGCTTATAGATAGATTAAGTTCTTTGATTAATCTCTCCCCACCTACTCCCCTACCCCCACCTTCCCTCCGAGATCCCTCAGTCTATTCTATGCTTCTATGTCCAGAGACAAGGATGAGTTTTGACTTTAAAATAATTGAGACATGAGAGTAAATTGCAGTCTGCTCCAAATAAAGTTACAAAGACAGAACAAAGGTTATACTTATTGAATTCCTATTAAATGCATAGTTCTGTACTAATTACAAAGAAAAAAATTAAGTACATTTCTTGACTTCAACAAGCTTACAGTTCCTGGAACAAAACAGAACAAAACAATTTCAATCTGACAAACATTAATTGAGTGCTCATGAAGGGCTTAGGTACTTTCACACAGTTGTCTTAAAGTGGATATTGTCCACATTTTATAGGTGAAGCAATGTGAATTGCCCACATGGTAATTATATGTATTTTTTCCCCCTGGTCAGTCCCAGTTTACATCTGTTGTCTTGGTGTAATTTTTAACAGTATACTTTTTCACTCTCCAAAGTTCCCCAGTTTTTATTATAACTTATATGGTCACCTCAATTATCACAGTAGTAGATGGCAAACCTAAGATTAAAATAATGGTCTTCTGGTTTCTTATGTTCTTTTGATCATGGTCTTAAATTGGATGTTCTATAGTAAGAATATGACAGAAATCAATTGTTATCTTCTGAAAGTTCACTGCTGACATTACCACTTCCAGACAATTACTCATTCATCTTCATGTGAGCACTCCTGTCCTTTTGTGGCCTATGCTACCTACTCAGTCATTTCATCTGCTCTTTTCTACCTGTACCATAGCCACTACCACACATTTCAATTTAGGACTGTAGAACCTCAGTATTTGCACTGTTCATGCATCTAAAACCCTGGCCTCAGATTTTCTTGACTCTAAAATCGCAATCATTCCACATGGGACATCCATGCCCATGAAGATTTATTGAATACCAAATAATTATCAGAAACTATTCTACCTCTTAAAAATGAAAACTCCAATACATCTCATATACTAAAATCTTCTTTTATTTCAGCTTTCCTGCCATCATTCCGTCCTAACCAACTTCTTTTAGTCCCATTCATAGTTACTTTCTGTTGGTCGACCCCCAATTTTCTGCCAGATAATCAGACTAATTCTGGACTCATTATCTTTTCTACTCAGCCTGGATTTATCTGTGAAAATCTCATCTGTCGCTATGATATTTTTAAAATTTAAATAACATGATAATAGAGTCATATGTTTGCAGCTATAGCACCTCACATAAAAACCTGGGTTATACTGGATACTCAATACATACATGTTCAATAAAGGAACTATGATGGGGGATTGTCTATTATAGGCTAAATTTTCTCCTTCTACTTCTCATAATGGAGCTATTCATAGCATATCTGAATGGCTAGCAGGTATATCACAAGTCTAATGAGGCTGTAGTAACTAGTCAGTTTCTCAGGTGAGCCAGCTTGATTCAAACTACAACATGAAAATAAAATAATATTGAAAAAAATAAAAATAAAAATAAATAGAATATCTTCCCTAGTCAGTTTGGGTCAGCAGTTAGAGCATCAGTCCCAAGACTGAAGGGTCCCAGGTTTGATTCTGGTCAAGGGCAGGTACCTCAGTTGCAGGCTCAATCCCCAGCCCCCGTCAGGATGAATGTGGGAGGCAGCCAATCAATGTGTCTCTCTCATATCAATGTGTATCTCCCTCTCCTTCTCTCTCTTTCTCTCATTTCCACTCTCTCTGAAAAGCAATGGAAAAAAATATCCTCGGGTGAGGATTGAAATAAATAAATAATAAATAAATAAATAAATAAATAAATAAAATAATATCTTAACCTTGGATCAGCTATGCCACTTACCATTACTTTTATGATTACCTTTTTATTAGTACTTGTAAATTTGTTTATTCCCTCCTAGGTACTTAGCAACTTATTTTAATTATCAGCCTGTAGGTATGCAGTGGCTCCTGGCCTTTGGACTCATACCGTAAACAGCAGGATGTCCTGCAGGAATAGTTAGTTTATTGCCACAGTTAGGATTATATGTTGCATATGAGGTGCTCCATAACTTAGCGATTGATGCACACATTTTCTCATGCACACAAGCACTGAAAAAATTAAAATGTCATTATGTAAAAAGAGCCAAATGAGAACATCTTAAAAATTGTGTTTGTTTAAAAATATGTTCCATTCATAAACCAATATTTTCAAACCATAAATACCTTCATATAACGAATTACCTTATTTATAAATATGTTACTATTTTAAATAGTTCTGTAATATATAAATAGGCCTTTGTGAAATTTATTTTTTTACTCACCCTGAAATTTTCTTCAAGTTCAGGTTTCTTTGTAGTTCTACAATCTCTATCCAGCTTTACTTCAATAGTCCTTGGTAGGTTTATGTTTCTGACAATGGTAGAGTAGATATTTTCAGATCAGTCCATCTACTGAGGACACCAAAATCTGGGTAAAACATAAAAATAAAACTTTGATATAAAATAATGTAACATAATATAAATTATACACAGAGAGCATATATTCTATATATTATATGTGTGTGTACAGTGAGTCTGCACTTAGCATCATCAATAGGTTTTCAGAACTGTGGCCAAATAAAATGAAACCAATTTTATAATCTGTTAACTGATATAAACAAGAATTAAGTTCCTATAGCATCTCACCAATGTTATAATAAAATGGCATTGAATGAAACATTATTTGAGGACCTGCTGTGTGTATGTATGTGTATGTATGTAGTTCAGGATTTATAAAAGAAGAAGATTCCTATTAATCATCTAGGATTTTCAGTTGGGAATTTAAAGTAGCACACTCTAGAGTAAGAGCAGACAAACCTTCATAAAGACACTAGTGAATGAAGGAAATCTGGGGTTGCTAGCACCTTTAGCTAGCTATTTGTCAGAAAATTAAGCATCTCTTGAGAAAGATAACATTATCTAGAACCTTAAATTTATCTACATTTTTGTGCAAAATTATTTGGATTTAAATAAAATGTAACCAACTATGCATAAATAAAGGATTTGAGGCATTAAAGAAAAAATATACACCACAAATAGACAAACAGGAGATTTATATATTGGAGTTATCAGACAAGTACAATGGAATAATTATAATTAACTATAGTTAAGAATTTAAGAAAAGAAAATTTGACAGAGAGCTAGAAACTAAAAGTTACTCATAGACAAAGACAACAGTATTGTTATTACCAGAGGGAAAGAGAGCTGGAGGGAGGTAGAAGAGGGTAAAGGGTGGATAAATGGTGATAGAAGGAGACTTGACTTGGGGTGGTGAACACAAAATAAAATATACAGATGATGTATTATAGAATTGTACACTTGAAACAGATATAATTTTATTAACCAATGTCACCCCAATAAATTCAATAAAAAAGTAAAAAGAATCATAAAGAAATTCTAGAATTTAGAGATTTGAAAGTATGAACTCAATAAAATAGGTATAGCCCTGGCCTGGTAGCTCAGTTGTTTAGAGCTTTGTCTCGATACACTAAGTTTGTGGGTTTTTTCTCTGGTCAGGGTACATGCAAGAAACAACAAATGAATGCATAAATAAGTGGAACAAGTAAGTGTTTCTCTCTCCTCTCTCTCTCTTTCTCTCTTTCTATCTCTCTCTCTCTCTCAAAAGCAATAACAAATTTTAAAAAATAAGTACAACTTTTAAAATCAAAGACAAAAGATGATGTTGAAATCAGTCAAAGGCAGTTTTTAAAAAGTCCCATTAACTTCTAAAAAAAACCAATAAGACTTATAGCTGATTTTTTAATAGAAAAGACTAAACAGAGAATAGAAGGAGAGTTCTTTAGAGTACTGAGAGCAAAAACTACAAACTCAGCATATAATTTACAGTAAAAATATCTTCATATATACAGGCAAAATGAAACATCTTCAGACAAACTAAAGGTGAAAGAAGTAATTAAAGACATATCTGCACTAAAAATATACTGAAAAGAAAGTATTTATGAGAGGGAAATGACCTAAGGTAGAAGTACAGTAATGTAGGGTAATTAACGCCTTAACAGGTAAACTTAAATGGATATTGACCACTTAAAGCAATAATGATGCTAAACTGTGTGGCTTTAAATATGTACAGAATCAAAACTCTTGGCAACAATGTGTCACAAAATATAAGAGGAGCATGAATAGAGGTAAAGTAGTAAAAGGTTCTTGCATGTTTGGGAAGTAATAAAAGCATTAATCTATATTAAAATTTAATGGAATAAGGATGCATGTTGTAATCTCTAGGGTAAACATTAAATAATATAAAATGATTTATTACTAACAGGTAAGTAAAAGAAATAATAGAATAGAAAGGAAATAATAGAAAATAAACTGACTTGATCAAAAGAAACTAAGGAAGAAGAAAGAGAAGAACATAGCCAAGACCAGGCAAAAAGAAAGTACATGTTCATCACCACCAAACCAGTATTACGAGAAATGTTAAAGGATCTTCTTTAAGAAGAAGAAAAAAAATGATAAAAAATATGAATAATAAAATGTCAATAAATACATATCTATCAACAATTATTTTAAATGGAAATTAATTAAATGCTCCAATCAAAAGACATGGAAACTGAATGGATTACAAAACAAGACCCAGAGACTCACCAGACTGAAAGACAAACACAGACTGAAAGTAAAGGGATGGAAAAAGATATTTCAAAAAATTGGAAATAAATAGGATCTCTTACCCTTTGAGAGAGTGTGGAGGGACCTGGAGATTATTATGCTAAGTGACATAAGCCAGCCAGAGTAAGACAAGTATTTCATGACCTCACTTATATGTGGAATCTAATGAACAAAATAAACTGACTAATAAAATAGAACCAGAAACATGGATCAGACTGAGAAATCTCAGAGGGAATGGGAGAGGGAGCAGGAAGAGATTAATCAAAGAATTTATATGCATATATGCATAATCCATGGACACAGACAATAGGGTGGTGAAGGCCTGGGGAGGGGGTGGGAATTGGGTGGAGGGGGGCAATGGAAGAAAAAAAAGGGACATCTGTAATGCACTCAACAACAAAGATTTAAAAAGAAAATGGAAACAAAAAAACAAACAAAAGCTGAGGTAGCAAAATTTACACCAGACAAAGTAGCTCTAAAAAACAAAATAAACAAGCAGAACAGAAATAGACTCAAAAATACAGAGAACATTTTGATAGTTGCCAGATGGGAGGGGCGTTGGGGAATGGGTGAAAAAGGATTAAGAAGTACAAATTGGTAGTTACAGCACAGGGAATATAGTCAATAATAATACAATATCTATGTATGGTGTCAGATGGGTGCTAGATTTACTGGGATGATCACTTAGTAAGTAATATAATGTCTAATCAATGAGTTGTACATCTGAAACTAATATAATATTGCATGTCAACTGTAATCAAAAAATAAAAAAAAATATTTAAAGTAAAAAAAAAAACTACATAGTAAATTGGTAGATATTAACCCACATACATCAGTAACTACATTTAAAATATTGAGTGTAGACTACAAGTAAAAGAAAAATACTGTCAGATTAAAATTGAAAATAAAACCCAAACACATGCTGTTTACCAGAGACATACCTTAGATATAAGGAAATATAACACTTGAAAGTGAAGGGTGAAAAAATGATATCATGCATACAACTAACTCAAAGGAAGCTACTGTAACTATATTAATATTAGAAATTTTAAGGTAAAAAATAGAGAGAGGAGGAGATAAAGAGGCAAATTTTATAATAATAAAATGTCAACTCAACAGGAAAAAAAATCATTTTAACTCTACATGTACCCAATAATATAGTTTGAAACTATATAAAGCACACATTAGCAAAAGGGAAAAATGTACAAACCCACAATCAAATTAACACACCTCTCTTACTAAGTGACAAAACAACCAGACAAGAAATAAGTGGGGATGCAGAAGATATAAACAAATGGGCTTAGTTTGGGCTTTCCCAGAAGCAGATCTGGAGACAAGGATTTAAGTGCTAGTAATGGATTGGGGTAGTCTAGGCAATATTGGTAATAGACTAGAGAATTGTTAAAGAAAAGGAAAGCCAGATACTGCTGAGGGTAACGGGACTTATTCTTATAAGTCATTTCTGAGAAAAAAATTTTTTTAGTAAAACTTCCTCAGAATTATCCCACACAAGGGATAATAGACATGGAAAACTTATACACCTACTCCCAAGATTCAGTGAAGGGCTACTATCTTGGGGAATAAATTCTCCAGCACTTCTGGCCTACAATATGCCCATGGCAGCGTGAACTTCCACCTTTCTGGAAAAAGCCCTTGGTCAAAGAGTTGTAAGTCACTGGCACTTTGAATTAAGCCAGAGCACATGGTAGTGTCCCAAGGATATGAGTGAGGCACTGACAGCATCTGTTAAAATAATTAACAAAAATGACCCAATTGACATTTATAGAACACTGAACTGAAAAACTGTAGCATACATATTATTTCCAAATGCACATGGAACATTTATCAAGATAGACCATATGCTGGGCCATAAAGCAAGTCTCAACAAATTTTAAATGATTAAAATCATACTGAATATGATCAGTGACCACCATGAAATTAAACTAGAATTTAATAACAAAATGATACCTGGAGAGATCCACAAATGCTTATATATTAAATACTATATTCTAAATAACCCACAGCTCTACTCTCAAGAAAAACTGATGTCCATTGGGGCAGAGAAGGTCTTCCTGAGATAGAAAAATATATGCCAAGAAATAAAATTCAGTCAGAGAAGGGTAGTAAAAAAGTATGTTCCATGTAGAGGGAGTGATATGTGTAAAAGCTAAAGAAGTCAAGGAAGGCTTCTTGAAGGGGGTGTCTTCAAATGGGCCTTCAAAGATTATTAAGCTTTGGCTGGGCAGAGGGAAAGAAAAGAAAGCACACTGCAGGCAGAAAAATCAATATAAATAAAAATAGGAATGAGCACAACATGGTGGTGTGAGTGAACATTAATGAAATCCAGATTCTTCATTGGGTAGCCATGGGGAATTAAGTTGGAAAAGTAGGGCGGGATCAGATAATGGAGTGTAGGGCCACAATTTTATCTATGGCCCCATACACAACAGGTTCCCGTGTATATACTTAAGTAGCAAACTCCTTTTTACAAGGGAAGCTTCAGTAGAACATTATTTAAAAACCTAAATTTACTTACAGAGATATTAAAAGACACTGAATAAATATATCCTTTTAATAGCACATGTAAAAGTGGTCTACCTTCTGTTCTAAGGAAGGCATTCTGTTTAGTATATATTTTAACAGCAGGTTGCTATCAAGCCCAATATGATTTAGTAACAGATTGTTACAGTAGAACAATCTAAGTCAGCCCATTCTTGGGCTTCAAGTAGTCCAGCAGTTTTGGTTATTTGAGTATTCTGTACATTCACCATGCAAACACAGAAGATTTAGCAACATTTACAA